TTTCGAGACCTGCAAGTGTTGTTGTTGTTGCCAGAGACGACGGCGAGTGAGAATCGTGTCCTTGATTTTAGGTTTCCGACCAAATCTTGTTCAGAGACGTGGCTTGAAGAGATTGAGAGATTTGTAAGGACCGTTATTATTATTAACCTTTTAAGATATGAAAACAGAAGAAACGCGTACAGAGAGAAGATGAAACGCGTTCTTGTAGAGGAGGAGATAAAAGGGTAAAAACTTTTTGGTTTTCCAAAACGAAAAGAGCGATAAAAGTTGAGATATTTTTTTGGTGATTAATAGTATAATAAAATAAATATTATTGGTGGAGTTATAACGGCTCTTTTCCCAAATGCACTCGGCTCCAGTCATTGTCGACAATAATAATAGCTTTAGCCCAACAACTTCGAATAGTTCAGTAAGGAACTTCGGATAAGTAGTTTGGTTCGATTTTGAATATTGGGTTGTTAGAATTCTAAAAAAAATTACTGAATTGAACCAAAACTGTTGGCTTTTTTTTTCTCTTCAAATTCGATTAAAATCGGATAAATGCAATTAAATTTGGTTAACTCAGTTTTTTCGGTTCGAATTTTTAAATATATTATCATAAAATATGTTATAATTCTGTATAATATGTCCATTAAATTTTTTTTTGAAGAACTGATCGCAAAACCCATATATATTTATATTTGTAATGATTGGTTTTTTTTTGTCTAGACAGAATGAAAAAAAAAATCGAAAAGTTTGGTTCGGTTTCATTATGTTTAGTATATAGTTGCATGCCTAATAATAACTACTAATAAACAACCTTATTCATTTAAGTCATAAACGACTTCAAATAGAAAATAATCAAATGAAAAGATGAATCATCCCTTATATATTAATTAAAGAGTAATTTTTCCAAAAAAACTTAGATATCTTCACCAAAATCACTCTCACAATTTTAATGTGACATGGCATCCCTTAAAATATGATATGACATTCTCTCTAATTTAGTTCATTAATCCATAATTAAAATTAGTTCAAACTCAATAATTATAACTAATCCAAGCTCAAAAGGAGGATGAAAATGAGGACTCCATTGATGAAGTTAAGAAGTGATTATAAAAAAATAATCTCGCGGAATAGAAGATTATTATTAGGGATTTTAGTTATTGTTACTTTTAAAAATAATTTTTTTTTTTGGATTTTAATGGATCTTACTTTATTTCCAAAAAAATCTGTTCAACCAAATAGATCAATTAAATAAATCGATTACATTTCGTTTCGATCCAAATATAAATTTATGTNTCATTAACTCCAAAATTAAAAGTATAACCATCTTTAATAAATCTACACAAGATTAATCTGACATTT